AATATATTGTATATTAATTTTATTCGATATTTCATGATAAATTATAAATAATTACACAAGAAAAAGAATAAACTTGTGAATATTACTAACGATTTCATTGCATTCATCGTTCACGTTCATCCAAAACCATCATTTTGCAATATAAGTATGTATCATTTCAATGTAAGGAAGAATCAATTATTAATTTAATCATAACAGTTAGATGATTTCATAATTAAAGGAAAGTAGCTAAATGCAGACTCACCACATGCACGTGTTTTATGAAACTTGATTAACTGTTGTTATCATTGATAGCGGTTTACTCAGCAACTTTGAATTTTGAATGTCGAAAGCCTTTAGACGAGCGCTATTCGCTTCATTTGAAAATAATTTTATTTTAGCTAATAAAGTTCATTTAAACTTTTATAGAATATTAATTACTATTAAAAAAATTCGATTTTTCATATGTACCAACCCAATAGTTATGTTATACCATAACTTGAAATAATATAAAGTCATAACTTATGCAACAGATAAATTAATATTTTAAAAGCATTTTAAAACTAGAAATAATCTTCAATATATTGTGAATTTTTCGACGGATGTGTTTCAGTAGAAAGATGTAAGAAACAGTTTATTTATTTCACATGCACAACTGTAGGTACATACTTTTTTAAAAGTACTGAAGCTAACAATAAGTGTTTGATATTTCTACCAAATTTTCGAATCATATATACTTACACTTCAAGTAGACTACAATGAAATTCGTAGTTTCGACATTTTTTATACAAGAAATTTGGAAAGCGTAAAGTTAAGCTTCAGATATAATAATAGTCTACTGTCTTTTTAAATTCAAATCTAAAAATTGATGCAAGATGCTCTCTAGCTCAGTTTTGCGATGTCTACTTTTGTACGAGAACATGTAAGTTTCAGAAAATACGAATTACAATGTACTTTAAAACTTGTAAACATATAAAATGCATATACCATTTTGTGTAGGAAACAATGTAGAATCTGAATATTTAAAAAGTTCAATTTTTTAAAGATTTTTCACGGGCACATGCTTTTCATCGCTTATAACAGTTGTTTGATTTCATAAAAAGTAATAGTAATTTCTAATAATGCTGGATCAATTTCTGATAAAAAACATCAAACCAGAGGACCAAAATGATCGCTCAATATCAATGTTTGATATTAAATCGTCGAATTTATCGGAACGTGTAACACCATGTTTCCCAATGCTAATTCCACGGAAAATTTGTTCGGAAATTTATATTCAATCAAACGTGAATTATGATGATTTATGTGGACCATGGATTTATCCGAAAAATCCTGTTTATGGACGGTACGTTGATTCGGCAATTCCAGAAGTTTGTGTTTGGAAATATTTCACAAAGCAAGATGTAATTTATTTGAAACACTATCAGAAAAACGTGGAAATGGTATCTGCCCTGTTTGGTAAACGAAATTACCAGTACACATTAATATTTGATACATATCAGTTACGTTGTAAACGAAAATGTAACACTTTTACAGAAAATAAATCCTTGAAGATGAATAAAGAAAAATGCAACAATATTCTTAAGAAAGTGCTGTATGAATTCTTGAAGTTTATGAGGTGCAAGTTTATTAATATAGCAGCACCCGTGTCCTTTTGGCAAAATCGATATAACTGAATGTACACTAATTCTGTTTTAGGCTTCATTCTTTCACACAGGAAGGCGTTTCTGCAACTTTGGGATTTGTGTGCTTAACACATTTATTTTTCCTTTCCCATCCATGGTGTACAGCTAAAGAAGTTTATCAGTTTTTTTATGAAAGTATTTTAGTGCATGCTGTATTGGTTTGTATTTTTTTTTTTATACTGTAGAAGTTTTTAAAAGATTGCGGATAATTATGGAGTAGCAAGTTTGTACTAAAGCTGAAATTTCATTTTAGAATTCACCGAAAAGTGTAGAAGTATTTAACATAATAGAATGCAAGCTTTTGTTTGAAGCATTTCATGAAATATATTTAGAGAACCTTACATTACTACACCTTTTGTGCCATCCAATTTATCATTTTATTATGGTCTTAAGTAAACCATTGAGTGCAGCTTAACAAAATTAATTATCATGTACCAATAAAAAACAAATAAAACTTATTCAATATGCACACATGTTTCAAGAATCATTTATACTATTAAGTGTAGAAAAAAATCACACAATGGAGAAAGTAGAATATTAGGGCAGAGAAGCCCAGCGTCATAGCAATAAAAAGTTAATTATTAAAATTTCATTAGACAAAATGCTCCACAATGTCTTCATTTGCTGGTCGACGATTGATAACCACAGTCACGACTTTCTTCTATTGTTGAATCTGTGTTTCCTCTGTCGCAGGAATTACCTTTATATTTTAAATTATTTTTGCGTAGCTCGTCTGTTAAGTATTGCATTTTAGGAAACCACCAGGGGTTACCACATGTAGAAACGCGTCGCATTGCCTTCGTAAGATTCAATCTCTAAATAAAAAGAGATATTAAACATTACACTCTGTGAAAAACAATTTGTACAGATTTTCTAACCTTTTGCAAAGATACATATTTGGAATTTGTGGAGATTAATGTGTCAGAATTTTGCGCTACGACAGATGGTGAAATATGGCATCCTATGCAAACATTTTTAACATTCTTCCCATTGTATCTATACAGTCGTTTTAACCTTTGAGTCAATGAATGGTTATTGCGTTTCAACTTCCTTGTTTCTTCTAAGAGGGTTCTATAAAAAATTGTTCATTTAAGTTTAATTGATTCTGAGCTTTTAAATTTATTAACGTGATAATACGTAGATGAAAGGAGTGCAAATTTAAAAACGAGGCAATAATCATATTTTGCTTTCTGACGAATAAGCAAATAAAATGTCAATGAACACGTCTTTGGTTGCTATTTTCATGTAACAACAATCTAAGATACTTATTAATTCCGTTTTTACACGTTCCAGAAAAAAATTAAATTTTCTTTTTGCACAATTTATTTTGTAGTCCAACACGGTCCAAGAAATCTAACTATTTAACACGTTCACTGCGGCATGAGGCATATACATATATCTATAGACTCCTTATCGTACCTTTGCCTGTTCGATTTGTTTTTTGTTAGGGGCAGTAAATATACCAGTACTGGGAACGTATGTTTGTCTCGTATAGCCAAATAGAAAAGTTGTAAAAAAAAGCTGCAGTGAGAACATGTTAAAAATCTTCACTTAGTTTTAGTTCTAAGAGATGTTCCTACATACTTATTTCCTTAGGAAATTGCTCTCAATTAAAATAAATTCTTAATTGGTTCATCGTATTATTTGTACTGGTTTTTATGGTCTGAAGATTATTCTCCATGTTTAAATATGCACAGTATCTGTTTTTACATCGATTTTCTGGGAACGTTTCGTATAAAAACAGAATTAAGTGTACCTATGAATGTTCTGCAAAAATTTTTCTTTTATAAGCGCGAGATAATATGATGATTACTTACTATCGTTCATTGCAATTAAATTCCAAGGAGACTTACTTTTTCTCAAATTCAAGGTCTCGTAATTGTTGTTGCTGAAACTTTAATTTGGAACTTAGTCTGTGAACATAGTCCCGTTGTTCTTCCATCCAAATACGAATGCAGGAAACCACATATTGCGATTGATTACAAAGTTCCGATCTACTTATGGCTGTCTCTGTTAATTCGGCTGATATGCAAGCAAGAGACTTATTCTTCAGCTGACATTCCTTTCTTAATTCTAACAAAGATTTATGTGTATCTTGTAATTCAGAAATAATTTCACAATTATTTTGTTCCACCATAGCCTTTTCTTTATTAAGACGGCAATTTTGTTCCATGCATTCTTTCAGTCGTTGCGCCACGCAGCAATTTGATTCCTCTATTTTCTTAACTCTTTCTCGTTCCTCTTCAACCTAGAAATGTAAAAGATACAATGAATTATTACTATGTATCTTAAAATTCATACTTTTATTGTTTTAAAAAAGTTTATATTAATTTGTTTAACTTGTTCTTGTAAAACTTCTAATTGTTCTGCATAGTTCTCTTGAATTTTTTCTAATTCATCCTTGAGTTTATCTAAGCAGTCTGTAAGTTGAGCTTTCTCTTTTTCTATGTTTGATATCTTTGAACAATAATCCTTTTCCTAGAATAGATGTATAAAATCATTATCCTTTTCTTGTAACTACGTGGGTCATTTGAAAAGTTTGCAGAATGGAGTATAGATTGCATCAGTAGTTCTGATATTTCTGGTTCACTGAAGATTTTAATTTGTTACATGAATAACTGTAATGTAGTAAATCAGTATATCAGTATTTTGTATTCAGCTGTTTGAATTTTTACGTCGTGTGCCGTTTCACCTAATAATTGATCAGAAAAGAATTCAAATGCAAGTTTTTCAAGAGTACTTAAAACGTTGATCTATAAAATTGAAATGTCATTGGTCCAAGTACATTGATGTTAAAGGAGATTGTATTGAAAAATAGAAATATTTTAAAAACGATATAAGTTGTCTCTCCACTCGACTCCAAGAACTGTTCAAATGCCCACGTACGACAATACTTTAGGACGATGGCTACCATATTCGTTAAATATTTCTGCAAATCAGCTTCACGCTTTGTCATTTTAACCAATTGTTCTTGCGTCTTATGGTAGTCTTCTGTGACTCTGTGATAATTCTCTTCAGTGTAACGTAATTGTATTTTAGCTTCTTTTAACTGAAGCAAAAATATAATTTTTACTACATGAAAACCATTCAAATTTATGTTTATTGAAAAATTCGTACCATATTTTTCAACAGACAAACATCTTTCGATGTACTTTCAAAAGCATTGTTCTCAATCTTCAATATAGAATTGTTGTTCTGTAATAACATGTTTCTGATTACAATGAAATGTTTTGCTAATTGACAAATATTTTCAAATACCTTTACAACTTCATAATCTGCTTGCAACTTAGTCATATTATTCGATTGTTCTATCAGCATGTTTTTTAAGGATTGTATTCTATCATGCAGTGTTGACATCTCATATTCTGCATCATCTAATTCGGTTAAATATCCTTTGATCTCTTTATTACTTCTATCTAATTTCTTCTCAAGTGTTTCAATAGTTTCAGTTTGTTTCTTCATAACAGTTTCATCATCCTTAATTTGACTGTACAAACTTTTGATCTGAAACATTAAAATTAATTCATCAAAGTATCTGCAAATTGCTGTTTCATTGATAAATTCATTTATATGTATATATACCTGTATCTGTTCCTCTTCCAATTTTTTAAGTAATTTCTCAAACTTTATATCGTTAATAAATTGCAATTTTTTGGATGAATTTTCTACTTCTCCTGCCTGCTTTTTCAAATCAGATTTTAGTAGTTCATTTTCATAACGTAGACAACATTCAGTGTCCCTCATTTTCTGTAATTCAAATGAAATTTGCTGAGGGTAAGTATCATTTTCTCTTTCTATTTTCAATTCTTTGTCAATTATGTCGAAGTCCAGTTCGCATTTTTGCAACTGCTTCTTTATATCTTCATTTTCTCTGGTTAAAGTATCTATTTCTGATTGCAGCTCATGTTGATGTGAGTGGTTTTTAAATTGTATTGCAGTATCACAAATCTTATTGTTAAAGTCAAAATTTAATACATCTTGGGCAGTGCTCATTCTATCAGTGAGTTCCATTCTGCACTGGCAGTCTTTGTCTTCATAAAGTTTTGTCTTCTGGTCAGATTTCAAGGCTACTTTTCTGGAACAATTATTCACAAAATGATATTTAAGAAATTACAAAATTACATTACCAAAATTTAGTGTTAATCCATTACTTTAGTTCTTGTAATTTTCTTTCAGCCTCTTGCCATAATTTTTTGTACTGTTCCAAACTGACTATCTACATGAAACCAAATAATAATTTCTGAGTCAAAAAGATTTTTAGAACATTTCTGTTTATCTATTTGTCACAATACTTTCTCATACCTTATCTTTTAAAGCTTGAATGTTTTTCACACAAGCTTCTAGTTGTTCCTAAAATCGTTTACAATAATTATTAATCATTAATATCTGTCAAGATCTCAACAAAAATTAATGCTAGTCAACATTTATTGTGACAATTAGAACTAAATATTAAAATACAATAAAACACTTATCGAAGAATATACGCTTTTATTAATAAAGGGCATGCAATTTGATAATAATTCAGGTTATTCTACCTGTATTGATTTTAACATAGAGTAATGCATAGTATGGATAGAAGTAATAATTATGTAACTGTCATATTCAATGTAACAAATCTTTTGCTGAAGTTGTTTGATCGCAACTCTTTGTAGTTCCAGTAATTTCTCTTGTTTGGCAGCCTATGTATAAATGTAACAATTTTTCGTTATTATCTATATTTGTAAAAGTAAATAAAAGTAAAAAAAAATCCAACATACTTCTGTAAAGCATTCACTGTATTGACTTTGGGTTTCTTCTACACACACTGCCAATAAACGAATAGTTTCACATTTTTCCTGAAGCTGTAAAGTGTAATTTCAATTGCTTTTCTGTTAAACATTTCTTAAAATTGAACAAATGGCTCCACAGTCACATTCTAAACATAAACTTTAGCTTCGTACATCATTTGTCACCAATAATTTGTAGCATTAATTAAAAATACACACTATATTCGAGATACAGGAGAGACAAGACGTTAATTCAAGAATATAAAACACAATACATGCATATTACTCATCCGATCATTTATTAAATCAATAAATATTAACAAACTCTGTTAATAAATTACACACAGCTACTATTAAATGTTACAATTCTTTTGTGTACGTTAATATAGATTCACATTCCTCTATTTTAGACGAACAAGATTCTAACACTTATAACAATTATCAACAATATTTACAGAAACAGTGGTAACAATATTTACAGTTTACTAACAGTATATAATATATAAATATACAATATATAAATCTCTGTACTATACAATACTTAATTTGATTTTCAATATTGTAAGTATGTACTCATAAAAATTTAAACACGTCGAATAATATACAATTTGATAAAATAAAAGAAGTGATGCATTTATATTTATATTTTTACTGAAGATTACTGTTTTCACTTTTGCAGAAAAATTGCATTCGGTGTAAATTAATCCGGGCGTTATTTGTACACGCTTAATATTTACAAATCAAACCTTAATGTTTAAACATCATGCACATTCCCATGACTGTACGTGGAAGATGATAATGTGGACCACTGTTCACTCACGTCACTCATAGTTCTGTGTCCCATCTGGTCTATACATCTTTTAGCTTCTACTACAGCATTTTGTAAATGTCCTATAGTTTGATTTTGAAGTTCATTCTAAAAAGCAAAAAGTAATCCGAGTAATTTATAGCCAGGAGAGCTCTACATATATAATTTACATCGATGATACATTTTATCAGAATGTTTAACGATACAGTTTTGTACGTACCTACCACATTTAGAAGAAATGTTGAACGTGTAAAAAAAGTTGGATTGTAAAATTAGGTGCGGTAATTTGGAGAAATATAATAGATATACAAGCTGCGGCCGAAAGAATGATTCAAAGAAGCAGAAGATTATTCTACATGCAAAAATAGATCGAAAATTTAGAATAACATTTTTTCGTATGATACTTCATTGCCGAGATACTAGAATTCGAAAATGTGCTGAATACGTGTATTTAGGTACAATTGAATACAACTTGCCTAATGCGTCTGTTCATTGTATTCTGTTATCTATTTATTGCCAACACAAATACACATATTTTAGATGAAATTTCAAACTCAATTATCTCGAAAACAGTTTTAAATGAAAAAATTTTATTCTACACTTTTGATTTATTTTTGTATAAAGAATCACCTTGTGTTCGTTTGAACTATATTTTATTCCGAATCCTGTACAAAAGAGCATGAAAAATTTTCACTACAGAGCAGAGGACTGTATAAAGTGGGAACAATGAACTCTTGTAGAGGAAAAAATGGTAAACTGGAGAATGTTGGAAAAGAATAAATTAAATAAGGTATGTTAGAAAAAACAAAGAAACGCGTATATACCAAACGTTAAAATATGTATGCAGAAACTCATGAGTTATAAAAGTTGTAAGTGTATGGTGGGTGTATGAATGAGTACAGGAAAGAATGAGATAAAACAGCATTGCATGCAAAGTCCATTTTATGAGTGTAAACCAATATTAACTTCAAGCAATTTATGGATACATACCTGTCTCGATAATTCCTTCTTCTCCTTCTCGTACTGGGAAATTATTTGATTTTGATTATCAATCTAAACATAAATATTTAAAGTTTTTGTGCTTTTGGTTAGCATTTTGATAATACACGTACCTTTTATATAATGTCTTGGTATATAATACTTTCACATTCTTGTTGAACAATATTACAAGTAACTAATAATATATATTGTATAAATACATATATAAAACTTTGTACATTAAACTTTATACATTATTTAATTTGATTTTTGTAATTTCAATATTACTGTGATAAATTTCAATATTGAATAGTTTAAATGTGATCTTTGATTTAGCGTATAAAATAACTTACTTGTTTCTTAAATTACAAAAAATTGTTGTAGAAATTAATGGTTTTTAGTGGTTATCTAGTGTCAACTTTTCAAAATAAACTTTTTAACATACCTTCTCTTGTAGTTTCTGATGAAGATCCTTTACTTCAGACTGTGTCAATAAAATAGAATTCTTTTGAATTTTGATGATTTCATTCTTATCTTTTAACTGTAAATACAATTTTGTTAAATTACAAATTCCATTCTGAATTCAAGCTCTTAAGAAAAATCTTGTAGTCTTCTACAAGATAATGAATTGTACTTACGAGTTGATCTTTTGAATGCGAAGTATTTTTATGCTTCTCTATTTCTTGAGCACAACTGTCTAATTCATCTTCATGTTTTTGCAGTTTGTCTACTAGATTCACTAGTGATCTTGCAGATGAACAAAAGTCAGATTGATCTTTATGAATCTGTAAATATATTTTTCCATATGTAATAAGGAGACTGTAGGTTTTCATGCAAATTTCAATTTTGTTGATCTATTTTACAATAGTTAGAATCAAAGAAAAATACATTTAACCATTCGAAGAATTTTTTGACCCTGACCCACGATTCAATGATTTGTTGAATTACTACTCCTTGAATTAAACTTGGTCTAAGCTAAAATTGAATGAAAGAAATCGCTTGATCGTTATACATATAAACTACTAGTGTCACATTAATGTACAAGTGTCTCTAATAAAGAATATAATTAAAAATTAAGTCTGAGTTTTGATCAAAGTGACTGGAACAATGCATGAGGGTTATTAAATCAACAGTAGAGTAAGAATTGAATTGGCTCTTGTCTTGACTGTTTTACAGGTTTAATATACTAGAAACGCAATAACTCCGTAGTCTAGTGATAAAAAGATGTATAAAGAGCAAAATTCTATTACATTTTCTCAAAGAAATTGATACAAACCAATTTTGTTAATTCTGTCTTAAGCTCCTGTAGATCGTATTTTATAGATTTCATAGTGTTTTGTAGAGTTCTGAACGACTGAGATACAGTCTGTAAAATACGAATCAATTTCTCGTAAGAAGCTTCTCAATGTATATATTATAGATACAGTAATTTATGATTCATTTACCATTGTATCGTGTCTAAACTGATTACATCCATAGGGCAACGGCGATTCATCCATACTATGCTCTGTATACTTGATGTTAAACAAAAAACATTAATGTGTAACACAAGAAAACAGAATTACATTTCAGTCTTAAAGTGAACTTACAAAAGTGTTCAGAAGTTCTTTTGACTTTTTCAGTTCTACTTCACTTTCGTTTAATTGCTGCCGCAGTGTACATTTTATTTCTTTTTGCAATTTAAGCTGAAATTTAAATACACAATAATTTTACGTTTCATAATAAATATCCTTAGGTTTAATTAATAGTTACGGTATTTTTTAATTGTATAATCTCCTTCTTTAATTCAATACTGTCCATGGAATGAGAACGACTATAATTTTTTGATTTGGTTTGCGCATCACGCAGTGCTTCTTCCATTAACTCAATATTACTTCGTAAAAACTCGTTTGTTTCTTGCGTGCACTTTGCCTAACAGTCACATAAATAATAAGGCAATAAAGTAGAGTATCTCATTTCGCATATTGTTAAAATTTTACTTTATTGTTAAGTACCTCATGTTGCAGGATTTTAACTTGGCCTTGTAAATCCATGACTCTGCTTTTCCATAAACACTTGTCATCACATTCTGTTCGATGTATTTTCTAAAAAATTAATTATATACAGAATGCGACAGACGGGATGGTACAAGCGAGCGGGAGTCGTTTTCTTGTGCAAAAATCAATCAAAAGCGTGGAAACAAATTTTTACATCCGAAACTTCATTTCCGAGATAATCGAATTTGAAAATTTGCTGGATACGCATGCAATTGATTAGGAATAGCTAACGGGTCTGTTTGTTGCTATCCGTTTTTTACTTATTTAGCCAGCACAAATATACGGCGTTTTAAAATTGTTTTTTTCGAAAACTAAGCCTCGTATGAAAAACTTTTTTGCATTCAATATTACATACATATGTATCAAATTATGAAAGATATCTCACTTGTAACATTTTATACTTCAACTCATCATGTTCCTTTCTCAATTCGTGCAAATCTTCATTCCAAGTCTGAAATGAATTAGTAATTTACAAATTTAACAGGAATTTTGATACTACAAAGACGGTACAAAATAATCAATATATATCTGAGTGTACATAGTCAGTTATTAAATTCTGTCACAAATCGACGAATGGCCACAAAGATTAAGAGCTTGTATAAAAGCAAAAGGAGGACATTTTGAATAATTTATATAAATATCTTTACATGAACAATTGTAGAATATGTTCCAATAAATTATTTTTCCTACACATCGTTATTCTCTTGTTAATTGTCAATACCGTATGCGACAGGACTTATTACCTGACTATGTATAGTTGAGACCATACTCCATTACTATCACATACCTGCTTTGTAATTAATATAAAATTAAATATACACTTCATAAACCTGTTGAACACTATTACTATACGATAAATTTTATAAAAAAGTAACATATAAATACCTGATCCGTTGAAAATAAAAATGCTTCTGATATATGTTGTATTTTAGAGTGAACTGCATTCACTTCTGTTTGCAGTCGCTTTAATTTATCATCCGTTTGGCAAAGTGTTGTCTCCACTTTACCATGTTCCGAAAGCTAAAATGATGAATTGTTTTATAGAAGTGAAAGAAAACGGCTGAGAACTCTAGTAATACACGATGTTAAACAATCGACCTCTTTTTCGATGCTGTCCAAATAACATACGAATTTACATTATTTCATTTATACAAAATTTTAAAGAAAAGCTATGTGATAAGTTAAAACAGTTGTACTTTTAATATCAGGTATACTAACAGCATCGTTAATTTTTTGTTGCAATCCTCCTATAGCTGATTCTATTTCTTGAAGTTGATACATTAGTTCTTCCATGTCTGACGTGATGCAGCACTCCTTAAAAAGTTTAAACGATATCATTTGTCCCTCATTTTTAATATAAGATTGTTCAATCTGAAGTTTAAGGGTTCATTCCGGTATGCGAGCCAAAAAATTAAGCGTTTTTCGGGAATTTATTGCGGAGAAAAAAAATACAGTAATGGTATACATTTTTGTTTCTATTTATTAAACTATATTTCTATAGTATGTAAGAAATACAAATGTAATGAAATTAATGGTTTTAAAATATTTTTAAAAGTGGTTTTGATAACATGTTTAAAAAGTGATACCTCTTGTCTGAAATAAAAAATCTAAACAGATTCTTGATTAGTATGACTGTCGCTATCGTACGAAATAGAATTCATGATTTATCTTCAAAATTAACAGAATGACGGACAAAAATGGAAAAGAAATGTTCTTTGGCTTTTTTATTTTTGCTACATTTATTCGACATTCTGTTAATTTTGAAGATAAATCATTAATTCTAGTTCGGACGATAGTGACAGTCATACTAATTAAGAATCTGTTTGGATGTTTTATTTCAAATATGACTAACAGCTGGAATCACTTGCCCCAAAGAGGCGTCACTTTTTAAACATGTTTGTACCACGACCGCGTTTTAAAAACACAAAAAACATTAATTTCATTACATTTATATTTCTTATTTACTGTAGGAATGTAGTTTAATAAATAGAAAAAAGATTTATACCATTACTACATTTCTTTTCTTCGCAATAAATTCTCGAAGTAACGCTTAATTTTTTGGTGCGTACAACGGAATGACACCTTGAAAAATTAACTTGAGTATTAAATACTTGTAGACTATTCGATGTCTGTTCCATTTCCTCTATAACTGAACATACTAGGTCATTACATGAATAAATTTCTGAATAACTCGGCACAATACTTCCCTGAAATTTAAATATTAGTAAAATAGGTATAACATTGTAGTAACATCGATAATGAATTTAGTTAGAAAAAAAAAGTTTTACCTGCATATTACTTTGCGTTTTCGTAAGGTGCATTGATACTGGAGGCTGAACTTGATTTATTCTATTTTTAATATCTTTTAATTTGATTCCTCCTGAACTAATTCTTTCAGTATGCCTTGATCTTTCTTTTTCCTATTAAAAACAAATGTTAATTGACTGAGTGAAATAGTAGTATTAGATATGTTACAGATTAACAGATCTTACTTGTAACTGTAATCTCTTTATTGCTTCTATTATACTTTCCTTATTCCTTATCAATTGAGTTTGTATATTAATGACAGCTGTATTTAAATCGACATACTGAAAACGTTTTATATAAATAGCATAAGTAACGTACATATGCAATTTACATATATTAAAATTATACTCTTACTTTTTGATGTCTCGACTTGAAAGTAGAAATGATTAATGCCATTCCATCCTCAATGTCTTTTGTAGTAACTTGTGCCCCGATAGCACATGTTCTGATTACATCCATTAATTTGTATTGCTGATTAATGTCTGTATATAACTAAAACACAATCAAGATTTTTTATATTATTTAGTACTTATGTCAATAAACAAGATATTGGTAATACTCACTGGTAAATTTTCAATTTCTATGTAAAGAGAATTATTGTTTTCCAATTTCAGCTGTGATAATATAAAGAAAAATGGTGCAATTATTAAGTGAATGTATAACTTAAATGTTTCGAAGAATCTTTAAAAACTTATACATACTATAATAGAATTAATAATAGCGATCAATTCCTCCTTTTTCGGACACATTTTTTTTATGTAGTCAATGTTCTGAGTCAGTTCATACTGGATGCTTGTATCCTGTGTAATTAATAATAATACATATGTACGCCAAGTAACTTTCTTATTTCGTTGCAATATCAATAAACATTTTTCGTGTACATTAATGATGCAGAATCTTTATTTCTCTATATTTTGTTACATTCAAAAATATGTATATTACACCATTTAATGTTTCTGGAATTAATGAAATTTTCTTTTTTTACAAATGCAGGAATTCCTTATTAAATTGAATTATTCTTCTTGCTATTTCTTTGTGATAATACACACAACTGAAAAATGTTTATTAATAATATCTTTATCATGTAAAGCTTTTATTCCAAAGTTAAAAAAACGTAACACGAATTTAAAGTAAATACCAACAAAAATATGTTAATAAACATTAGCTCCTTTTTTTTAGAAGGTATTTTGAAAGTCTATGAATTCTCAATGTACTGTGTAAATTAAAATGGATACGAACTTTATTGTTTTCACAGCATAGCTTTTCCATAGTTTTTTCCAACTCTACTTTTAATTTAAAAATATTATCCTTGTCCTTCTCCATTAATGATTTTACCTTAGTCAAGTATGAAATTACTTGATTCTGGAAAGTTAAATAACATAGTAAACAGTATTTTCACATACATCTACCCCATTTATATCAATTTCATTTTACTAACCTCTTGATAAACTGTTGTACCAGCACAATCATTTTGCATAGCACGTGATTCCTGAAATTATGTTGAAATATATTTATACCTACAGATAATTTAAAATCTATTAACAACATACTGCATATACGAAGAGAAAGGCAATCATGTTGAAACAAATTACCATTAACAGCTTTTAATTTATGACTCTGCATATAATTTTTCGAGTTTCAATATTTATTGTCGCTTGTTTACATTGTATAATTGAATATAATTAAAAATTATTTATAAGGTGTTTAATTACGTTTATCTGATTTTTCTAAGACAGAAATATTTTTACACCTTAAATATTTATGTCTCTTTGTTAGGTGCAGGTAATTTTTTTATATGCTTTAAGATCCTCTTGTCAATATTATGAAAATGTTTATACGTATTAATTTTATTTTGCTCTGAACTCACTCTTTTAGCCATTAAAATTTTTAAATTGTGAATTCTCATCATGGGCAGACTTTCTGTTTCCTTTTTACCATCTACAGTATGCTCTACGCAATTTTGCAAACAAGAAATTAAATTATCGTGATCCGAAGATACACAAAAGGCTTTTGGTGCATAAATTCTTTCATAACATTTATAAATAGATTCCACTTTCGGAGTGTCAGTGTCAGGCCCGTTACAATGATTTTGGATACAAGAGGATAAAGTGGAAAATACACGCTGGAAGCAAAAACGTATTACTATTATTTGTGTACGTACAAAAAAGTAATTTTAGATATACCAATTATACCTGATCCATTGTTTGTTTCAGCTTTCTTCGCATTTCTTTAATGATATCTTCTTTAAACTGCATTTGTATATTTGCATGATGACACTGTTCTTGCAATATAACGATTTGCTTTTTTAAAGATGTTATTATTTCATTTTTTTCTATCACTTCTGCTGTCAGAGCACCTTGTTTCTCTAGTGACTCCTACCAGTTGATACAAGTAGAGTTATATTTAAATTATTGTGCACGAAAGGAAAGTACACATGCAAATAAGTAACACAAACTTTTTGAAAATCTGACATCTGTTGTTTCATTTCTTGAATTGTTCTGCATTTCTCGTTTAATTGTACTTTTAAATTATTTATATTTCTATTGGTATCACAAGTTAATACTACCAAAGTAGATTCAGCATTATGTAAACGCTTCTGCAAGTTTCTCATCTCTAAACTTTTCTCAGTGAACATGTGTTCCACACTATCAGCTACTAACACAGTCTGAACAGCAAGAGATTTAAAAACAATATGTTACTACATGCATTTACAGAAGCATATTTGTTTTCAGAAAATTTCAACACGATTGCCTTGTCATCCATTACTTAATATTTTTTAAAACCATTTAGTTTTATTAGAATTCTTAATTAAGCTCTACGTAATGTATAGAAGAACTTAATTAAGAATTCTAATATATACACAGATTAACTTACACCAAAAGTTTGCTGATCATTTTTTAAGAATGAATTACATGTTAATTGATTTCCAATTTTAACATGTTCGTTAACATTATCAGCTAGGTTTTGACTTTGAGTAAAATAGTTTTTAATAGTATCTTGCTTAGCTTTTAATTTTTCAGTGAGATCGGCCAATTTACCTTCCAACTCTCTCTGATGCCTAAAAGACACAAAAGACCAGTTTGTATATAGTACACCACTGTATTTCAATGATTTTTAATTACTCCACTCTTCTTTCTTTAAACTTACATAATCTGTTTCTTTTCATTCCCCTGAAGCTGTTCTATTTGCAACTTTAAAAACTGTATCCTTTCTTGGTGCGTTTCTTCCTAATTTCAGAATTCCAGAATTAATTTCCAACAAACACTGTTATTAAATATTATATGATACGTTATAAGAGTAAACATAAGAAAAACGACAGTCATTGCATAATTATTTTACATACCCACCATTTATTTTGCATAAGAATATTGACAAGAAATTTTTCTAAAAAGGAGTGTAGGAAACGAAAATGTGAGATAAATATACATATATATATGTACATCAATTATATATGAGTAACAAATGTCCAAGCTTAAAGAGGTGTTGAATGTGAAGAATGTATCATGGAAATACTTTCATTTATTTCATAATTTGAGTTATTCATAAGACTGTGACTAACTTTTATTACAAGTTTGTATCTTTTATCAGCATCTAAAGTTATATTTACCTGGCGACAGGAACAACTACAAAAGTGAAAACACAAGAGTTATTTCATGATTCTAGCATTATAGACGATAATTTAATTAATGATAAGAACTTACTCAAGAGGAACAGGTATATCAGTAGGTTGAATCTCTATAAACTTTATCCCGTCTAAATTCCAACAATTTTCTTGTGATGCGCGTCTTATAAATTCTAATAGCCCTTTAATATCATTTTGAAGAAACTCTATTCTCTGGCGCATGTATTCTTCATCTTTTTGCAAATTACTGACACGATTTGAAAGTGTATTTATAGTCTATAGTAAAAAAAGATATTTCTACATCAATTTACTACTCCCTTTCATTTTATACAAATTTTTTAAATCTTACTTTTTCCGTATAACCTGATTTCGTTAAATTTTCAGACACTATCATAGATGACTGCTTTAATTTCTGTTCCAGTAACGTTACCCTATTACAAGTAGCCTGCTCTAAGTCCTCCACAATTCGCACTAACATAACATTTTGTTCTCTTAAATTCTTGATCCATTCCTTTGAAATATCTAATTTCATCTGAAAAATTTAAGGTTGCTGCTATTAAAAATAAATGCGCTATTTAAAATAACGCAATGGAGTCATAAAATATATAAGGGTAAGTTACATTGACATTACTTACACAGACTCGATCGAAATCATTGCTGCAGTCTTGATCAACACTCTGGATACGGTTCTCGTAAAATTTTTGAAATTCATCGATAATTTTCAGACTTTCTGTTTCACCGCATACTTCCCCGGTAGTCTCATCAATAGCAGAGCAGTTGTGGTCTCCATCAGCGAATGAGAAAATATTTTGGACAGGTTCGGTCATTGAATTAATCGAGTTCATAGCACGTGAATAAAAAAGATACTTAGTGTACTGATTAATTCTTGTTCGATATCAATTAAATTAAAAATCTTCCTACACCCACTCTAAAAAACAATCTTAATAAACGTCAACACACTAGCTCGCCATTTTATTACTATATGTACTGATATACACATGACTACAGTACTACACTTGACTTGACAATGCTTGACAACGTGCATTTAATTTCACGTACTACATCATAGATATATACATATACATGTATATATAAATAGACTGCACGGCAGGGATGGGTAAATCCCCATAAAATCAAGTTATTTACGTTACGTGTAAATTACATGTAAATTACGTGAGTAACGTAATTTTAACATAACCGAAACCATAAAAGACATCTATTTTATCATAATGTAAATTTATAAGTATTGTAACATAAAAAAATTAATTTTAAAAGAATATACCCTGTCAGCCAAACTTGCAATGTCAAATTTAGTACAACACTTGATGTCAACACATTTACGCAAGTTGCACGCAACTGTGTAGTAGGAGAGTTGACATTGAGATAGATCATGGACATAGTAATAAAGGTAGGGAGCGTAAGCTGTGAATGATGGCAAACCGGCTTCCGGGGAGCGGGAAACACCAGGAAACACGATCACACGGTACTCTGAGTCATATTGGCGATTGGTTATGATCGCGTAAGCGCATGGCGCAATTTTGTTTTCATTGGGTAAAAGTGTGCCCAGTGTAACCAGTTGAGGTTAGGAAATTATTTTAGATAAAAATATTTATATCTCAGAAACGGTTGACTTTTCCACCTGTGTTTACTAAGGTTCTTTTACTCAGTACAGTGTGTCCTATGTATTATATAAATATTGAATGGCTTTTTTTAACACCCTTGTATACATACTAGGATGGCGTGAACTGCTACTTGTGAATCACTCGTGATTCGATCACGTTCGTTGCCAATCACGGTGATTTTTCACAGTGATTCGTTATTTCTCGTGATCGTTTCAGATTGTTGGAGAAACCTAACAGCTCTTTACACGCGACACAATCTGTATATTTTATATTAACGACATCAAAACAAAAATTCGAGTTATATCGTATAAAGTGAAGGAATAATTAGAAACAATGAAGGATAATGAATAAATTAATGATTATAAATTATAATCTTCATGTTACCTAGCAAATCATTCTTTTAGAACTTTTTGTTTTTTCTATTGATTTTTACAAACACAAATAGTAATGTAATTCATCGTAAAATCATATTAAATACGTTTTTCTGTTTAAAGATCAAGGACTTACGATCGTAGTGAGCAATTCACTCAAGATGAAAAAATCGCAATCACGGTCGTAAATGAAGTTAAATCACGACCGTAATCGTGATTCGGTGATCACTGTGATAAATCACCGTTAGTGATTTTGCACGCCATCTCTAATTGAAACTGTTTTGTAATTTGATTATTTGTATGCAATCCTTTAAGAAATAGCAATTCTTTCTGAAATTGTCACGTACTTCTATATAAATGAAACTGTGCGTTCGATGTGGTAAGAGACCCCGCGTGTGTGAGGAAGCGGGGTCATAGAACCCCCGGTGCTTGCACAAGAGACCCAGTGTGGTGAGGAAGTGGGGTCATAGAACCCCTGGAGCATGTTAACAGTTTTGAAACGTGATCCTTTATCGTTGTTGCTCGTACGAGTCTCAAACTCGGTCTAATCATTAGACTCTAATGTTGCTCGTGCAACTGTCGAAATCTGACTGACACTTGTGCGTGCTTTCGTGAGCAAATTATATAGTAACCCTAGCAACTACGGCAGTTTCTGCAAATACTACTACAGCCCAAGTTTAAAAGACGTAGGCAGTAGTTAGTTTCTGTAGTAACCTCTTGAACCAGACAACTATAATTAGTATAGGATTGTTTGTGGGGCCCCGAATTTAGGGGAAAAACAAATTTTTTTAAAATGGGGGTGTGTCTATAACTAACTCCGATCGATACATACTATTAGTCATATAAATCTAAGTTTAACAAAAGTTTTTTGCTAATATCTCGGAAACTAAGCCCGAGCGACGGGTACATGTATAGGGAACAGTTTGGAACAGTTGTTCAGAATGTTGACCTTGACAAAATATGTCAAGGTCAAGGTCATCGGTGTTGGGTCCCCTTTTCTAAATAATTACCAAAATTATGATTCGGGTTTACATGCTTTGATAACACTTTAGTGCAAATGTAGTCTATATAGCATATACGTGTATTGACAACAAATTTAATTTAATCAAAAGCGTTATCAAAGAGGTTCTACAACATCTATATATACATAATACTATCATAATATGAATAAAAAAATACAGGGTTCCATTTAAAAAAATTAACTTGACTTTGATATCTCCCTCACTATTATACTTATAGAAAAATTATTTATACCACGTAATGTCCCTCTTTGTAACAAACAACTTTTGTATGAACATTTTTTTGATAACTTTAATCCTTCGTGAGATATTCCACCGTTTCCAGTTAAACGAAACACCCTGTATGTTTAAATTTTTAACCTGTGCTGCATAGGTATTTATTAATACAAAGTACAATTAAATAACGTTCATAGCATTTTTATTTTCATATAAATTTTATAACAATTTGTATAAATATAAGATCGTCATTTTAGATTACATAAATACATTTAATAAAAAAAAAAAGGTGTATAACAGTGCGATTTAGTAAAACATTTCATTAAAAATTAATTGTAGTTTGTTACAAAAAGCAGATCATAGCACAGCTGCAAAGCTGTAATAATTCATGAATCATGTAAAAAATATGCTAAAATGCATAATCCTTTATACCCATATACTTCATTAACGCATTTGGTATACATATGCACTTCAAGCAAATGTGTTACCCCATGTTTTGAGAAAACACTTTTGTGCCACAATGATTATTAACACTGTATCTTGTCTTCTGAAATATTTTATTCCAATTATGTAGAGACAAGTGAAAGAAGAGCTTTTTTATAATCTCCAGATGTATCACCCTGAAATAAAAAATATTTTTATAATTACTAGCTCATAGAAGAAGAATATGTATCTCTTTTGTAATTTACTACTCTTTTAACATGTATTACGTTGTTTTCTATACTAAAAAAGAACAATATAAAAGTATATGTTGACGGTAGTTTATATAAGATGTTTGAATATTTTTTGCTGTTCTATTCATTACTATGTAATTGTAGGCAATGAAAACCATTGGTCCAGTTAGTATTATATACAAATAATACGCAACTGAAATATTAAATACAACAGAAATACATACAGCAATCCAACTTTCCAATGATTTCCCATATCGTTCTTCAAAAGCTTTTTTAATATCGCCCAAATCAATTTCACTTCGGGAAACAATAATGCGAATCAATGTTCGGTCTTTTGTACCTATACCATGCATGCTGGCATATAATCGTTCAGCAAAAAAGCCTACTTTTGATTTCACACACTTCACTGAAAGATAGAAAATAATTTGACTGTAAAGTAACATTCTTGGAGGAATATACAAACAGTACATTTACAATCAATTTCGTGACACAATATTTAAGAATATAGTACGAATTAATAATTATACATAATAATCTAATTTAAGCTTTTTTAAATAGTACCTTACAAAAAAATACTTGCCTATTCCAAGAAGACCTTTTTCAAGATTTCCAGAAAACTCTTTTTTAATAGCAACTTCAATATCATGTCCAGATATTTTTTCATACTCAATAAAAGTTTGTCTTAACTGCTGATAGCTACGAGTTACTAAAATAGCATTAAACTGAGATTCATCTGTTCCCCACTGTTTTTCACCTACAATGTCGACAAATATAAAAGGAATCACTTGTTCTTCTTATGTAAGTCACTCTAACACATACAGGGTATCCCACTTAATGTGAGCACCTTTAGTGTCTCACTTGCTTCTGATTTGCAGAAAAATAATTTTAATAAATACTTAAAGTGATGTCCATTAATTTCGATACATTTCTGCACTAATCCCTCCATTGCAGTTATTTTATTATTTAAATCTTCTCTCATACATTTGTGGAGTTATTTAGATCATTGGATAGGTCTTAATCTCAACTATTATGCCACACTTATAAAAATATGTAGTCCCATTTAAAAAAACATCGATGACCTTGAAACTTCGAAGAATACAACCTTCAAAACGTTTTTTGCTTACCATTAGATGTGCATATTAGACCCATATATTTTCAACAACTGATATTATTTCTATCATAAAAAATAAGTGAGATATTTGGGATGCTCGAGTTAGGTGGAACACCCTGTATACGCAAAATTTATCCTATTTTAGTGATTACATGAATGTATGATTCTAAGGTTTTACTTATAAAGAGTATAGCTGAATAAGGGGGTGAAAAGTGTCCTTAGAATAATTTGGTTTTGTGATATACCATTCGATAGCTTACCCAGAAAAAAAACATGTACACCCACAAGCTTACTAAATTCATTTCAAGTACTGAAATAAATGTAAACCCGAATATTAATTTGGCATAAATTTTAGTAACTCCCAAAACTAAATCGTAGGAGGCCTTTCACTTACCTCACTTTTTTCCCTAGTGGAAGCCGAGTTTGCTCGTCGGTGTACACCCGCTAGGGGAAAAAGTGAGGTAGGCGAAGGGCCTCCTACCATTTAGTTTTGGGAGTTACTGAAGTTTATGCCACATTAACATTCGATTTAACATTTATTTTAGTACCTGAAATAAATTTACCAAATGGTAGAAGACGTTTATTCTACGCCGCTTTTTCCCCTAGTGGAAGCCGAGTTTGCCCGCGGATGTATACCATCTTTCAAAGCCTCTATCCCGACCAGGAGGGTAGTAATACGAAAAATTCAGAGTATGTGGCTTTTCCTCTACTGCCCCTATTTAGTGACGTGAAAAAATTCTCTAAACAATCTAACAAGTAGTATTTATTGAGGCACATATTAGAAAATTTTTTGCCATTTTTTGGTTGAAAATTCTAGTCGTAAAAAATTAAAAACGCAAAAAATAATGAAAAATGCAGATTTCTTTTTGACGTTTTAAAAACACTTGATCTATATAATTACAGTAACGATATATCATGAAAATTCAGTTAATGCAAAATTCGTGAGACTTATGTCATTTGGTATAACTGTGGAAATAATTAGTCTCTTGTTTTAACGGTCTGTAAACTTCTATTTCGTAGAGGCGATGCGATGCGTGAACCGGCTCTAAACTCCTTCTGTTAGATAGTCACGACGCAACATGTCAGGCCACTTAACGTATTCTGCGTACTACGCCTTACTTAACGTTTTATGCGTATTTTTGTTCGTTACAATTTAATAAAATACTTCAAAAAAAGGGGTGTATTTAAATATTTGTTATTGTATAGTTTCTTTAAATGAGAAGCAATTCCCGTATTTCAAGTATTCGAATAGTGGGAATTCAAATAACCCGATCAATTTTTGTGATTTATTAAATGCACTAATCGAGACCTACATGTACCACCCTCCTGACCGAGACAGCCCGTTGAAAATGAACCTCCTTTATAAAGAAGATTTTCCTGGTTTAGGTAGATCTTAAGCTATCGAATGATATATCACAAGTCCAAATCAGTTTAAGTGCGCTTTTGACCCGCTTATCCAACTATACCCCTTATTTATTCCTCCATTTGTATATTTATTGTTTTGCAAACATACCAGCCTCATAAAGTGTCTGTGCATCTGCTGCAGCTTGAGCTTGATCTATACCCTGATTTTCATCTCTATTTGCTTGAACAAGTGACACCAGTAGCCTCTTAAAATGTCCCGAAGTATCTCCCTTTAAATCACTTTCAAGAGCTTTACTGTATACTGTAAAAACATATTAGTTAGTAAATTAAGTGTACACATATTTTAATCAAAGTATATCACACACAATAAATTTACTAAATGCAGAAGCTAAAGAATATGATACTTCAAAGAAACTAAATAATGTTGTCATATTTTAAAAGCCATTAAAAACTCATCTGTGACAAACGTATTGGCTTACTTACAGTTTTCATAAAAAGCTGCAATTGTGCGTATGCCATAATTACTTAAGGTACACAAAATTTCCACAATTGCTTCTTCATCAGTCCCTAATCCACTAAGTGCATCATGCAATTCTTTAGCATAATAATGAGGTAATGGTGTCATAAGAGCAATTATGACATCTTCTAATTTTCCTGTAAGTTCACTTTTTAAATCGCTAACTAAATCTTTTCCATACAATGTTTTATATGCTTCAGCAACTTCCAATCGCTGGACAATTCCTCTTCTTGTAAGTACATCAATAATTGTTTTCTCATCTGTGCCAAAACCTTTCATTGCTTTACGCAATAATGCGGCATCTGCATTTGCATCAAATGGATCAGCAGGATATACTGTAGGGGTACACTGTTAAAACAGAAAATACATATAATGTAAATCATATTTGTAACATATCAAAATATTTATATCTCAATTAATAAGTAAATTATGTGTTTATTAGTGTTTAACCACTAATGATCACTTAAATGTTTCATTACTTAATGACTAATGAATAAACTGTGGATCTTTATGCAAATTCACAATTGTATATACGAATATGTAAAAATTACAATGAAACATAATCTTATATTCTATATACAGGCTGCACTACATTTGTAATAATACATAATTAAACTTTGCTAAAATCATTGTTTTATTGTGTTTTCCAAGTTAATGGATGCTATAATTGCATAAACATCGGAAGTCTACTAATGACTCACTTACAATTTTATATCAAGAATTGAAAAATTATAATTAATATTACTTTCCTTAAGAGTAAATTCTTTAAAATAATTGTATATAATAACTTTTGAAAAAATTAAATAATTGATTCTTTTGATTCAATTTCTCTATATATAAGAAAAGAGAAATTTATTGTTTACATAAAATATCACTTTATATAATATTGATATGAAGTTCTCTACTTAAATATTATTTATTTCCAAATAGCAATAAAGTTTCAACAAGATCTATTTTCTTCTTTACAATAAAAAATGATTAAAAAGGTTAAATGCAAGATATCTACAATAACAACATAATATCCAAATAAATTAAACCAATATATTTAGATCGATTAGTTTAACTTTAACCGAAGCAGCATTAAAAATACGGCTGATCAATACTTAAGCCAGAAATAGATAAATGAGTTTGTACCATGTAAAAAGAATCTAGCAAAATTTTAAGTAATAATGGGAATATACTTACTTTAAAAGGATAATATTGTTGCTGCGACATTATTATTTATTCAATTGATAATCTGAAATTATTAAAATACTGATTAATCAATCAGTTGTTCATGCATCAACAATAAATGTTCAAATCTATGTACTATACACTATTGTGCACTTAATGTTTACATTTCTCCAGTACATTAAATTACAAAAGTTTTTAAAAATATGTACTTACAACAAATGTGATTAAGAAAATTTGACAAGAATAATATATTTGCCAAGTAGAAGCAAACTGTTCTTACATGTACGACAGCCGGCGAGTCAATAGTGGGCACACCCACTTTCGCATCACGTCATCTGTAGTTTTTCAATGTGCCTACAGCCTACAGCCTGTAGGCTACAGGTCGAATGAGTAATAAGCAGAAAAAAGGCCACAATGCTACCAATGACAGCATAGTACAATATAACATATTATCCTACTTACTCATCTTCGCGAATTTAAAATTCAAACTACTATTTTTATTTACATTTTCTCGCACTGCAATAAGACGTATTTAGTAGTTTAGTAATTTAGTTATTTTTAAGATACAGTTACTCGATCCGGAGTTACGAGTGAGCGGCGAAAACTGTTCCTCGCATTGTTTTTCGGACGGCGTAGAGAGAGATCGCCGAGAAATTCCCTCGACCTTCCAAAATCGACGCAACGCGGTGTCGAAAGAGAGAGAGAACGAGACAGAGCTGCGAGTTGAGACAGACAGCCGGCAGTTGCTGGACCGACAGAAACGGAACGGGCCCCGAGATAACCCATTCGAAGACAGAATTTTGGGCAATTGACTGTCCACGGTTACTCTGTTGAACTCCGTCAAGAATGAATTCCCTAACCTTGATCCAGGCAGTAGCAGGGAATACATAAGAAGAGGCTCGCCGTGCCGTTATCGTGGGCAGTAACGCAATGAGAAGTGAACTGTGATGCTTATGGTGACACAGCCGACACAAATATTTGCTTTGGCAATCCTCTAAGTAGAGAAATCTGTAGTGCAGAGATGGGCAAAATTTTTATTTAACTGAAAATCGTGATTAAAAAAATAAAGTTAAAAAAATTTTTCTCGTTACTCAAACCTTGACGAAAAAAGTAACTTTATCGACGAGCGTCGATTAAGTAAATTTATTCACCGAGAATTATCCGATGAGTAAAAGTTACTTTTTATAATCATGGCGTTTCACTCATAGCGTTGACGATACTTTCATCTTTCACTTTTATCTTTATCCGAGAACTTCGAGTACATCTATAAATAAATTTGGTCAGCCAACCAGCTCGAAAAAACGCGCTGACGGCGTCGAGCGTCGAACGTCGAAATCCAGCGATTGACAGTCGGCATACAATGTAAACATTTGCCGATTTTCGCCTCATCTATCTCTACAATCTGGCCTGGATCACCAATTTGAGAATTTCGATGAGAAAGTCAAATTTGACACACCTTAAATGGTAAGGAAAACAGATAAAGGCAATTATACAGGGTGGGGCAATAACTATGTCCACTTTGAATATTGCCGTTATTTGTAATAATATGAAAAAATGTTATATGCCAAACTTACACGGTATATAAACCTAGAAAGTTCTACTTTTTGCGATGCGAATGAAATAACACTTTCTCGTTAAGTATAATAGTTTACGAAATATAAATTTGTTTATACAGTCATGTATGACTAAAAACCCGCTTTTTCGCGATTTTCAACATGTTACAACTTGTTAATAACGTTGAAGCGAGCAAAATGATGATATAAACTCATCGTTATTTCACATAGAACACAACATATTGCAGTTTCCTTAAAATCGAAAAATATACTGCCAAAAGTAATCGATTTGACGTGGAATGGTCCGCTTACAAGTGTTTATTAATTCACAGCGACAGACCAGCGCCGACTCGCACCGTCACGTACCGGGAAAACATTCTTTGTGAGAATGCCAGCAGCGTTGGTACGTGCCGTAGAAGCAACGTTGCGTGTCGGTGCCGGACAATGTAGACAATTACACTTAAAACGCATGTTCTAATGTTTTGTCATGCTTGTGACGGTCCGTGCCGGTGACGGTATGCGACGGTCTGTGCCGTATAGTGTTTACTCGGTCTCGGTCTGTCTCGTACGCTCTTTCTCGTACCGTCTCAGCCAATCGAGGTGACCTTTTTAATTTGATTCGTCAACAGCTCTCTGGGTCTAAGCCTAGCCTCGTACCCTTGTCGCAACCCCTGTGGGCATCGACTTGCAACAGTTGCTCGTGGTGAGCCAAAATATGGGATACGAAGGACAGCGAATGCAAAAGAAAGAGAGGTCAGAGTCGAGATAGCCGAGTATTGGTTTCACCGACACAGACCTCTCTTTCGTTTCCATTCGCTGTCCTTCATATCTCGTATCCTATTTTTCTTTATTATGGGGGAAAAACCTGGAGAAGGTACACCGGTTCCGCTGGCGGCGGAGACGGCCAATGCGGGATTTCACCCACTAAAAACCCCCCGGTGACCCTCGGGCGTAGGGGCCGGCAACGGGTACGCTCGGCATGCACCGCGACCAGCCCCGCCCATGCCCTCCGTATAGATGTTTAAGGAAGAGCCCTTCTCTGGGGGGGGGGGTAGCGGTTGCTTCCCCTCCCCGGGACGGCTTTTTTGCTGTTCCTCCACCTCCTACCTCAGCGTTAGGGGGTCACCTCTCGACGCTGTCTTTTTGTGGGCTAACCGCGAAAGGAGGTGGTACCCCCGGTACCACCCCTTCGGCTCCGTTGCCCTGCGGGCAACGCGAGTGGTCATCGCGGCTGTGACCCCTATAAATCACACCCCTCGCAGGGCAACCCTTGTTTACAGCGGTGCAACTAGCACTGCTGTATGTAGAAGAGGAGTGAGACGGTTTAGGGTGCCCGAGGACCCTCCGTTAAGACGACGCGAAAGACGGGCATTCCTCCAGAGCATGCTGCGCGGAGTCATATTCCGCGCCGCATAAGTGGCATACAGCCGTCGCCTTCGCCTCAATCTTGCACAGATACTCACCGAAACATCCGTGTCCGGTGGGCGTTTGAGGCGATAGGTCATTCTACCATGGCCGCGGTCCATCCATGCATCTAGGCATGGAAGGACCGCCCCGGCTGCCCTTTTGCGGGCGGCGCAGCTCGACTCGAGCTGCCATCCGCCACGCCTCGCGGGCCATCCGCCGGGACTGGCGCTTCATCTCCTGAGTCACTCCGGGGGTTGGGGGGTGCCCTGAGAGGCGGATGGCTTAACGGCGCCGATATACAACTAACCCTGATCTAACGAAAAAATGATGACTGCTAAATAATAACCCTTTCCATACTAAACGAGTTCTGGGAATAAACCTTTCTGATATGTCTAAAAATGACGGAGATAATTGACAGGACCGTAAAATGCGTATATTCAACCCACCGTATATATAGGTGCGTCGTGCAACTAAACCGTCGAGTGGTAGGGAGAGCATGGGTGATTGGAGCTCGCTTATTGCGATAATCCTCGAATTCTGGTCCTCTACAGCCCCGAAGGTTGCAATAAACGAGCGCCTACCTATTATGACGTAATACCTAACCTGTATGCAACAGCATTATTTCAATTGCTCATTGTTAATAAGTTGTTATTGAGATATCTGACTATTGATGATTATAAAACAGATCAGGAGCAATTTTTTGGTACCATGATATTTGTCTAAAAAGACCATTACTATCTACTTTGCAAACAACAAATTTTTGCTTTTTCATTTGCGAATATCTCATTAATATAAATGGTGCGGTGGGAGCAATTTTAAATTCCGAGGGACCAAATTGGGAGCAATTTTTTAAGATATGAATTGTTAAGAAAGACTAGTATTCGGCACCAACTATTTTTTGGTTGAAATGGAACGGGAGATTCGGACGCCCTCGATGCATGGGACAGAAAAATACATTGCCTATTAGGTCTATTCTTATATCTCGTCTGTGGTAGCATGGGTATTTATAAAAACTAAATAAATCATGTAGTTTTACACAGAGACTTGACATATTTACTCCGTCGTGACTATTTCTAGTCCTTATAAATGTCGCTATGGCCAGAACCACAAACTTTTTTATGTTTTAAGTGCCGCCATTTTGTTAATATTTAATTTCTCTATTGCTCATTCAGGTTCCAGCCATAGCGACAATCGTAAGGATTAAAGCAATGATACACTTGATACGACAACTTTTTTCACAGATACTTAAACAATCAGTTTTTGTTTCCAAAGCAGAAAGAACTATTTTATCTGTGATTACAGTTAATGGACCTTAGAAAATTTTTCAGATGTTGACATGGTTGAGAATTGCAATATTTCAGTAGGTTGTTGGAATGGATAGAACTTGAAACATTTTCGAGGTTCCATTTGTGCCATTAGTTTCTTGAAATATTTTAAGTTCAAAGGAATTTATACGTACCGGCAACTTTTACTACCTGATCGAAAATTTTACAAACTATAGGATGTAAAATTAGTCTTCACACTTTTGTATAATAGAATTTGCGGCAATGATAGAAAAGGAAAGAAGGATAATATTTTATTGTAGTAATGAGAGATCGATACAGATTGTAGCATTTTTTTCAAAATTTTCCTCTTATTGAACACTATATCTTCTATCAACCTCAGCTCTGCAATTAGATAATGTATTACCCGCAAAATGTACTTGAAAGCTGTAGATGTAACTTCAAATAACACACGAGTTAAACGTACTGTAAATATAGACATGCGAAACTTTCCTCATTCGTTAAGTAACGATAAGATTTGAGTGGTTGCAATAATTCACAGAATGTTTCATATTTTTTTCAACGTGAAACAGTTAACGTTTTATCTAAATAATCTCTACGTTGTGTTCTCGGAACGTTGCATCAACCAAGTACGTTGTTTAAAAACAACTGTTTCATTTGAAAACAAAGTTTCTTAGAGAGAATTTCTGTTTTACGAGAAATCGCTGTACGCTCTGTTGGAATAATGAAATTGTCGCGTTTATGTTGAAGGTAATTTCCTGATAATTCTATCTTTAATTATTACGAGTTTCCTGAAGTACGCTTTCCGATGAAATAGTTTCTAGATTATACTTATATTTTGATTTTTGGGAAAATATAACTGTATATGAGTGAGAGAGACAAGTATACACGGTGATACCGCTTTCGTGGAGCGAACACCCGACTGATTTTACGACTAAATACTTTGCGGCTGACCAAAGACCCATTGATGAAATCGTAGTCAGGTATATGTACGGCTCTGTTCATCAACGAGTGCATGCGTTAATTGTTTATCGTTCGAAGCTTCGCCCGATAGGATAATATCTTCATTCCTGCAATATTGAATATTGACTTACTGTATGTTTTATGTGCATTGCACATTTTATTACCACTTCGATCTTACTCCAAGTGTTTGGGGTTCTTGTATCCGCAAAAAAATAATATGTAATTAACATGGATCATACAAAACGTATAATGATATTAAAATAAAAATAAGATGAAATTTGCCGCACCTGCATTACGATGCATGAAGAGACTACATAAAATAGAATAAAGAAACTTGTTAAACACATACATTCGGTGTAATATGAAAGTTCTTTTTACAAGTTAATGTCAAGAGGGTCAGCCGAAAACATAATAGGCAAGGTCTTCGTCGATGCCAGTAACACGTTACAGGCAATCCGCGGGTGGTCGCCCTGCAGAAGACAAGAGACAGTTTTATAATGTCCAGACTTGCACACCCTCGGGATCGTGGCCAAGTGGTGTACGAGAAAAAAATACAGATGTTGCTCTAAGAATATACGAAAAGAACCGCGACCTTCAAGACATTTTCCCATACAGCTTTTACTTCCCAAAAAGTATGCCTAACCCAGGCCATGAAAGAGTGGGTATCGACCTATTACGCCATATCGATCCTAATGAGGGAGGATCAGTTCAACAATATCAGTTGTCCTTTCCGAACGGTGCTCTTTGCATTTTACGAGCAAATAGAGTTCATGTTCGGAAAACTAAGTTTTAGTTTATTTAGCGATTACGTAGTGATTATTTAGCAGTGTCGCGTACGTTGTCGTTATAAATAGTGCAAATTAATTATTGCAGGTTTTATTAATTAATGTAGGTTTCAGTAGGTATTGTAGATTTTATTAATTATTGCAGGTTTTATTAATTATTGCATATTAAAAATTAGTATAAATAGTTGTTATAAATTAATTAGTGTAATTTTCTCAACAACGAAGGCTTCTGTGGCGGAACTCCACTACAGTTTGTTTATGCATAAACTATATTAATTAATATAATTTAAAGTCCGCTACCGCTATAACAGCTTGTAGAAATTCATTACTGTCGAAATTTCCGACAATAAAGAAATTTCCAAACTATTGCAGTTAAATCTAATAGATTTTTGTACGAATATTTAGGGTAGTGATGAGTAGGGTTGTAAGGATAACATCTACTTGTAAGAATAATTTGTGCATGTATAACATAATATGTATGTATGTATAAAAAAATGAAAATTCTGAAGTGGATACATTTATTTTCTTCTTTTTAAATGCCTTATAAATCAGTATTTTTCAAATTTATATTTTACTGAGAGGTTACAAAGTGAAATTACAAAATAATTAAAAATAAAAAGTAAAACCGCCGCATTGGAATCAGCAGGGTCTCTTGATTGTTGAATGAAACTGTAGTTTGTTACGTTTCGCTTCACACGTTAATTACAGGATTCGAAGAGAAGCTTCGTAAATTTAAATGTTTTCATTGAGAATATGGACCTCTAACAGCGAATAAATTCTATGCATTGAAAGAGTGCAAGCATAAACTTATCAATTACTTTGAATCACTTATTAAACCTCTTCACACGATATCAAGCTCGTCATTACACCTGTGATGAAATCAGTAGTTGATACTGATACAAATAAATAAAAAATCTTTATCAAATGTATAAAAGTGACATGGAATTACAGTAGGGAGACATATCAAAAACACACAAAGCGAAGTACGAGCAAACCAGCGAAGCACGAACCAAGCCTTTTACAATGTTTGGACCATTGAATTTATTTACACGAGGTAAATTTCTCAATACATTCTATATGTTAATACTTGACACACTTTTTTTTATAACTGAACTGCGACTCTCTACTGATAACTTAATGTATGTCTGCGGACTTTTATGTAAAATCACATTATTTTACCGTCATTCCATGCAAAGTCGAACATTCTTTGGAGTAGCATTTCAGATTTTGTTGAAACTTAGTTATGTTGTAGTCTTTAGTGATATAGAAACGTATCTCGAAGGATTTTTGAACATTTTTAAAATTGATTTTAAAACTGATTTATAAATAATTTTCATTAAACACCCTTGTGTCACCACTGTAAGCAGTCACAAAGCCGATTTTTATCAGTTCAATAGTTACAATTTATTAAAAAAAGGTTGACATTATATTTCAAACAGCAGTAAAATCATCAATATTTTAAATTTTCAACAAATCTTCAAAATACGTTTAGACATCACTAAACACTATAACATAATAACTCAGTTTTAATAAAATCCGTAATGTGATTGTGAAAAGTGTCCCACTTCGCGTGAAATGACTCTATAGACAGCCCCTGTTCGAATCACAGCGAGATTAAATAATAGCGAATTCAACGATCCGCCTAGGTTTTTCTCGGGTTAAACTGTGAAAGAGTTAAACATACGTAGCAGATTACATTCTATTATGCACACATATGTCGATGAAGTGTAACCCTACCCATGTTTTTGGTAACATGTGTATGATTTCGAAATTGTGCTTGTTTGTACAATATTAAACAGATTTACTTTTACATTTCCAGCCATATGTATGTTGCTGGTTATCATCATTGCTGTTATTACGGTCTTTGCTGCTGCTTCTCCAAGCGTAGCATGTCCACCCAAAAATGAAGAAAAAGTTACTCTACTACCAAATCCGGATAACTGTAAAACTTTTTACTTGTGTAACGAGGGCGTACCCATTTTGTTGGAGTGTCCTGTCGGACTTGGATTCAACCCAAAATTGAAAGTATGCGACTATCTGGAAAATATAAATTGCGAAGTTGTACTTACTTCTTCACCACCTACTGCACCAACGCCTGCAACTACCTCTACCACATATTAACACATTCAGTTATAAATAATACATGTGTAAAAAAGGTATAATATGAGAAATAAATATTAATTATTAAAGCAAATGAAAGCTTACATCCTCCGTACAAATACTTTCATTAAATGAGTACCGTAAACCGGAGAATGCTGAACAACTTTATTAGCTCATCATAATGAACCTTACCAAGGCTTTTCAATTAATAAATATAATAATATAAAATATAACAAAATAAAAATTACAGTTTTTCCCATTGAGTTGTGTTGTTGATAATAATTTTAATATTGGTGTTACGATCGTTGTCGAATATTTCCGCCGCTTCTTTCTGAATAAGATCAATAATTTATACATCTTCCGTTTGCTTCATTTTGACGCCAAACAATAACTCGAATGATGACATACCAACACTACGTTGATAGGTACTGTTTACGCACTATTGTACTCGATCTATGTGCCGATACCATCTATCATTCGGGACTAACTAACGATAATTTTGTTAACAGCGGGATAATTATATACGATGGATTCTTTCCACTTGTCCGTTATTGCGAGGTACGTCGGTAGTAATAAGAGTATGTTCGATGTTTTCGTTATTAAAATAATCCTTAAACTGAAATGACGTAAAACCGATCCACTATCGGAAATTATTCGCGCCGGATTGCAAAATACTTTTTATTGTATAATTAATTTATCGAGTGTCTCTGTTGCATTCGTTGTCATCGTGGGATAGAGCCATACCAATTTCGAGAATTCGTCTACTATAACGAAAATATACTTAATAACCTAACCCAGACCTAATCTGTGACCAGACCCTGAGTGCGGTGAGACACAATGGGGCCCCGATGATCGAGTACTAATGGTTTAAAGGTCGGCCATGTTTATGGCTAGGGCTATATCTTTGAAGCAGTTATAAGGTACTGTCGGTGAAAGAGCTTTCGTGGAGCGAGACCCCGACTGATCTCTTGCTCAGTAATATGTAATTTACGTATTAATAAAGGGTAACATATAGTTGTCAAAGGTTAGAAAATATATAAACTTCTTTCGCGAATGTTGCAAGTTAAACATTCGTTTACGACGAATATGTATTTGCACGAATATAATAACTCTAGAATGGCAAATTAGTTTCTTTCAATCTTGAAAGGTAGATGACGTGTAATAAAACCGAAATTTCCGAAAAGACAGTTCCAAATTGTAACGGGTTGGGGACCGACGAGTCAGGATCTAGCGGAAATTTTGGGTTTTTATTAGATCACTATGCACCTTGTATAGTCCAGGTATTACCATTCTCTGGGGACACGAGGGCTGGAAGGGTCTCGTCCGGGCACGTCGCCTGGGCGAGAACTCCGATGGAGCTGATGTTCCACCAACACCCGGGCGAGCTTGCTCGTCCGGTGCGGGGAATTTTGGCGAAGTTGGGGGCCCGACCGGCTCAAAGTCCACTCACCGCACCTCCACGTGGGGTCCCTGGGCCTCCGCCTCAGTAGTTGGATATCGCTTCTGCGAATACAAATTTGCTGGGCGCGGAGGGCGAACGCGGTGAGCTGGCATCTGACTGGAAAACGGCGACGATAGGGCAAGTTGGGAGTGGGTTCGCCCGCCCGCAAGGGCCAATAACGAATATGATAATGGAAATGAAAGGTACAAACGTTTACGGTACAGGGGGCTTCGGATCCCTCAGTACCGGCGCGGAGGGTGGTGGCCGACCGGGCCCCCCCGCGTCGTCATCCATCGACCGGGAGAATGCTGCGGTAGACCGCCAGGCTGCAGTATTCAGCATCACGACTGGTGAAGAGGCGTCAGGGGTGGGCACATCGCCTGCCCCCGCGTCTGGTGTGTGGAGCGGCGTCCCTGATGCGGCTCCGGGGCCGTCTGGGTCGACGGGTGTGCCGCGTGAGCTGCTGCCGATTGTTCGGCTGCGGCGCCACCCGAGCGGCCTGAGCCGTTGGCCCAGCACGGCGAGCGTCGATGCCTGCGTGACGCTCAGCGACGACGAATCTGATTCGTCGTCGACTGTCTCTGCGGCGTCGGTCCGCTCCGACGTCGTCGGTCCCGGCGCTGTGGCGGGGCGAAAGCGAGGGCGTCCCTCGACAGCGGGGGGATATGTAGGTTTGGCCGAGGCCAAGAAGAGGCTCCTGGAGCTCACGCTCCAGGAGCGTCAGCTACAGGAGGAGGCGGCGGTGGAGGACCCGTCGGTGCACCCGCGCCCGGTGCATCGGTCCTGTAAGCCGTTGCCGGCGGAGGACGAGGTGGCCGCGGAGATGAGGCACGCCCCTACAGCGGACCTCGGGGCGGTCATCTTGGAGAGGGTGGCCGTCATCCAGAAGGTGGCTGGGACGAGCCACAATCTCAAGGGGACGTTCGTCGGCTCGCTGCGGGAGGCCGCGTTGCATATCAAGCACGCGGCCGCTGAGCAAGCGAAGCGGATGGTCGGCTTGGAGAGGGAGGCCGAGCTGGAGCGGGAGCCCAGGGAGCTCCGGGTGATTGGCGGCGACGACGTCGACGCAGCGGGGGGTGAGCCGGCCGACTAGTTCGGCTGGCGACCCGTCTCCGACGCCGTTGGCGTCGGCGGCGGAGGAGGGAGAATTCGGCCGGGGGGAGGCCATGGTTACGGACTAACCTTCTCCCCTATGGTCCGGATCCTCCAGGCCAACCTCAACCACGCGGCACGGGCGCAGGACTTGTTTGTCCATAGCCTGGCCGAGTGGGGGGTTGGCCTGGCCGTCGCCGCCGAGCCGTACCGCGTCCCTGACCGCCCCGATTGCGCGGGAGACGCGCTGGGCTCCGTGGCGGTGGTCGGCGACGGGGCCGCGCCCCTGAGCGTTTTGACGCGCGGGTGCGGCTTCGTCGCGGCCCTGTATGGGCGCCTCGCGGTGGTCGGGGTGTACGCCCCTCCGAGCATGCCCCTCGCGGCATTTGAGATGCTGTTGGACGGGATCCGGGACCTTGTGTCCCGTGATCCGACTCGTCCAACATTGGTCCTGGGGGACTTCAATGCGAAGTCTACCCTCTGGGGCAGCCCCAGGACCGACGCGAGGGGCGATGTCGTGGAGGAATGGGCGGCGAGCGTGGACCTTCGGCTGCTCAACCGAGGGTCTGCGAGCACGTGCGTGCGGTGGCAGGGAAAGTCAATCGTTGATCTCTCATGGGCTACGCCCGCCGCCGCGCGTCTCGTGTCGGGGTGGAGGGTGGCGGAGAAGGTGGTGACACTTAGTGACCACCTCTACATTGTATTCGATGTTTCCGCCGCCCCTCGACACCGCCCCGCTCTCCGCCCGGGCGCTGGCCGACCGCCGCGTAGATGGGCGCTCAAGCGCCTGAAGGAGGACGCGCTGATGGCAGCGGCCCACGCCGTGTCCTGACCGGAGGCTCCGGCCGGACCGGTCGCGGACGTCGACAGGGAGGCTGAATGGTTCCGGGAGGCAATGGCGGCTGCGTGTGACGCAGCCATGCTCCGGGTCAGGAAGCCCCCTAGGCGGGCCTCGTATTGGTGGAGCGACGAGATCGCTGCGTGACGTGTGGCACGCGGCGCGGCGCCGCTTCACCAGGGCCCGCCGGCGACGGAACCGCGACTTGGCGAGGGAGCACGAGCTCTACGGGGTCTACCGGCGAGCGACGGTGGACCTCCAGAGCGCCATCAGGGAGGCCAAATCCCGTGCCTGGGGTGAGCTCCTCGAGACGTTGGACCGTGACCTGTGGGGGCGCCCGTATCGCATCGTCCTGGGACGCATGCGGCCGGCGGGGCCCCCGGTCACGGAGTCTCTCGACCCCCATGCTCTCGAGCGTGTCGTTGAGACCCTCTTTCCGGACGATCCGGATGAGGGCTCGCGGCCGCTCGAGCCGGCGGACCCGACCAACTGGTCCGCCGAGCTGGGGGTCACGCGGGAGGAGCTCGCGGCGGCCGTCAAGTGCCTCGGGGCCAATAAGGCTCCGGGGCCTGACGGCATCCCCGGGCGGGCGCTGGGTTTGGCCACACGCGTCCTCGGGCCCCGACTCATGCGGCTGTTTGACGGCTGCATGATGTCGGGGCGGGTCCGGCTGCCCTGGAAGCGGGGCCGGATGGTCCTCGTCCCGAAGAAGGGAAAGCCCGCGGACTCTCCTTCCGCCTACCGGCCGATATGCCTCCTCGACGAGGCGGGCAAGCTCTTCGAGCGCGTGCTCGCTGCCCGCCTGTCGAGGGGCATGTCCGACGGTGGTCCCGGTTTGGCAGACTGCCAATACGGTTTCCGCGGGGGACGGTCTACGCTAGACGCGGTAGAGCACGTGCGCTCCCTCGCGGGCCGAGCAGTTTCCCGCGGAGGTGCGGCGTTGGCGATCAGTTTAGATATCGCCAACGCCTTTAACACCATCCGCTGGGACACGACCCGGGAGGCACTCCGACAACACGGGGTGCCTCCGTATCTCCGGATCGTGTTGCGGGACTACCTGTCAGACAGGGTGATCGAGTACCCCGGCCGGGGTGGCACAATCGTGCGGCGGAGGGTCAACCGGGGCGTGCCCCAGGGGTCCGTTCTTGGACCCCTACTGTGGAACGTGGGGTACGACTCGGTGTTGCGCGGGCTCCTCCCACCCGGTGTGCGTGTCGTCTGCTATGCGGACGACACGCTGATCATCGCGGTCGAGAGAGAGTGGACGAGGACCATCCGCATTGCGGTGGTGGCGGTGGCGCTCATCGTCACCCGGATCCGGGACCTGAGGTTACAGATCTCGCCGCCAAAGACGGAGGTGGTCACGTTTCATGGACTACCTCTGACGAGGCGGGTCCCCCAGGCCTGGGTCCGTGTGGGAGATGCCTGTGTCCGGGTCGAGGGCCGAATGAAGTCCCTCGGCCTCGACCTGGACAGCCACTGGCGCTTCGAAGGACACTTCAACCGCCTGGTCCCCCGGATTGAGGGCATGGCGACCCTGTTGGGTCGTCTGATGCCCAACCTCGGGGGGCCGGAGGAGAGGGTACGCTGCCTCTACATGGGGGTGGTGCGGGCGATGGCACTATACGGGTCACCCGTGTGGGCCCGCGACCTGATGGCCGGCCGCCGGTGCCGGCAGCTACTGCGGCGCATATAGCGCTGCATGGCCATCAGGATC